CACACACATACACAAAGTAGAAGAGTTCAAATTCATAGTCAAATTGATGTCACAAAATTGTAAGAACTGTCTGTGATTTATCACCCCTAAATAAATAAACAAATAAATAAAAATAAGTAATTCTATATACACTACCATTCAAAAAAAAAAAAAAAAAAGACTCAGAGGGACGAACACAAAGAGAGAAGGTTGGAACAAGGGATTCTAAACAGTCCGAGGAAAGGTACATGTCATCAGCCTCCGAAACACCTGCAAATCTACTGCACCTTACAACACTGTGCCGAGTGGCAGGCCGGGTGGTCCTGGACGTACAACCCCGTCTCCAGGGCCTGGGATGCTTTTAGCAGCCATAACCCAACACACTCAATCCCCTGAGGACAAGGATGCTGGGAACACAGAAGCTTATAGAGAAAGCGTTCGGCTAGAGTTTATGAGATGTCTATCACTCCTTTGTGGCTAACACACGCCAACAGCCAGTAGCAGTAAACAGGCTGGGAATAGAAAGAGTGAGAGTGAATGAGAGAAAGACACAGACGACGGAGAAAGAGAGTGTGTGTGGAGTTGACTGTATTAGACCACCATAGTGGAACAGCTATAAAGTCTACTAAGAGTTGTCTAATCACTCAACAGCTGTTTAAAGAGATTACAAGTGTACCAGAGTCCAATGTGGGGGTAATATATAAACTACAAGTGAACACAAATCTTTCTTGGCATGTACTAATTACGGCCAATACTGACATTTTTCCCATATATTTTATGCTACAGCTGACAATACTTTTGATGGATATAACACTGATATTTTAAAATTAATTCATACAAGTTTTACTCAAAAACCAGGCATCAAAATGAAAATAACAGAATAGATGTAACAGAATAGATATATGTCCGGATATTGACCAATACTTCATTCATCAAGGATGCATTAAATTGACTAAAAGTTACAGCAAAAACATTTACAATTACAAAAGATTTACATTTCAAATAAATGCTGTTAGTTTCTGCAAAAATATTAAGCAGAACTGTTGTTTTTAACATTTATAATAATAGGAATTATTACTCTTTATCATATACTTGGTCAAATAAATACAGTGTTGGTGAGTATAAGAGATTTCTTCAAAAAACATACTGACCTTTGAACGGTAGTGTAAATTTATGTATAAAATCACATTCATAAAATTAAAGTAAATACAAGGAAATACAATTGCTAAAATAGTCATATTATTAACAATTTAAGACTTTTTTTGATTGTTACATTATTGTGATAAATCCATTTTCCCCACAGTTCTAAAAATATTTTCCTAACGTAAAACATAATTAATCTTAATCTTAGGGTCATATATGACAGATGTTTCTTGACAGTTTTAAATAAGAGTCATCCACTGAGCACTTTTGTAACCCATCATAAAAGAGCGCACTGTTTGGAGGAAACTGGAGGAAAAGCATTGTTATTGTCTGCTTCCAATATTGGCCTAGTCAGCCTGATGTTGTCCGTTATTGATATATTGTGACAAATAAATCATGCATCCTTAAAAATATCCTATAGACGATCATAGTATACACAAACAAGTCTGTAATATCAAGATTGTTTCCAAACATTACCCTCTATATTGGTGCACAAATTTGAAACCACCATTACATTTAAGCTACATAACCATCAGAGGGAATCTTTCAATTTTCTAGCTCAACCTCAAAGGAAAATCAGCCTATTTATTTCAAGAGGGTACACATCAAAACCAAGCAGCAACTCTTTAATGAACTTAATTTCTCTCTTTGACTTAACGTTAAATTTGTGCATCTGTGTACAAAGGAGCGAGTGTCAACCTCAAGGCTACTGAAGGGGATTTATTGCAGTTATTATAAGCAATGCTTTTTAAATAATAGGTTACATTAACCTCTGCTCTGGGTTTTTCTGGGATTACTTTGAATCGTGGTTTCTCGCTGCGCTGAAGCCGGAGGGCGGGTGTGCGTCGGGGGAAGTACAGGGGGTCTAGCTTGTAATTTGGGATTTCTGGGAGCACTTCAATAAGCCTAAGCATTTTTAGAGGTTATGGCCAACTAATCGAGTCCAGCTCGAGAGTGATGATGGAGAGGTGGGGGGTGGAGATGTAGAAAAGTTGCCGGGGGGGGGGCAGACGAGCCAGCAACACCGCCTCTGGACATCTTAGGGCCGCCTTAAGGCACTGTCATTGATGGAGAGGTTAGAGACCAGGCGCGGACCACCCGGAATACAAGAGCCTGAAGCCACACACACGCAAATAGACGCACACAAACCTCGCAGTGATCTAAGACTGCGAGGATTAAGCATATTAAAAAATAACGCTCAATTGTACACACAAGCTTAGGTTTTAATACGCTATTAAAACAGATTAAAACGCACATACACACACAAAATCACACAAACGGAAAGGCAGACATGGGCATGAGAGTGCACACAAACACAAAAGGCTGGATTTAATACGAACACTGCGGAACTACAGAAGTGTAGAGTGTGTGTTTTTGTGCGTGTAGTGTAACCCGCAGAGTGCTGGACCGCAGTGTTCTCACCCTCTGGCTCTATGCGCTGGCCGCTCCCCACGAGACAATACTTCATGTCGGCTCCACGTCCAATCACTGCGTTGTTGCAGATCACGCTACCTTGAATGTTACACCTGGGGGAAGAGAGAAGTGTTGGGTTAGTGTTGTTTTCATGCGCATACAACAAACACATGCCATCAAAAGTTTGGGGTCGGTAAGAAGAACGCTGCATTCTTTTGATCAAAAATACAACAAAAACACTAATAATATGAAATATTATTTCAATTGAAAACAACTGTTTTCTATTTTAATACATTTTAAAATGCAATTAAATCCTGTGATGGGAAAGCTACATTTTCAGCAGTCATTACTCCAGTTTTAGTGCCACATTATCCTTCAGAAATGATGCTAATGTGCTGATTTAATGCTCAAGAAAAGTGCTGAACAAATTTGTCCTGCTTAATATTTTTATGGAAAGATTTTTTTCAGGATGAATATAAAGTTCAAAGAACAACATTCAGTGTAAATCATGACAGAAACAGCACTTATGTCCAAAATAGTGACAAGTTAGACCAGTATTTGAGAGACGTTTTGAGACTGTCATATTGTTGACACCCGCATCTATTTGGTCAGTAGTGTTGGCAACAAAAATCTTGCCTCTACCATGGCTCATTCAGTTCTTTTTTTAAAGAATTTAAAAAATATGTTTGAGTGAATTTTGAATATGTGACCCTGGACCACAAAACCATGTCTTAATTCGCACGGGAATATTTGTAGCAATAGCCAACAACAATACACTGTATGGGTCAAAATTATCGATTTTTCTTTTATGCCAAAAATCATTAGGATATTACATAAACATCATGTTCCATAGAGATATTTTGTACATTTCCTACCGTAAATATATCAAAACTTAATTTTTGATTTGGAATATGCATTGCTAAGAACTTCATTTGCACCCTCAGATTCCATATTTTCAAATGGTTGTATCTCGGCCAAATATTGTCCTATCCTAACAAACCATACATCAATGGAAAGATTATTTATTCAGTTGGTCCCTTATGACTGGTTCTGTGGTCCAGGGTTACATATTGTGTTAAATAACACTTTGGCTATAATTTACTATTCAGAGATTTTTTTTTTATTTTGCAAGGCCCATATCGTTTGACCACTAGTCCTAAGAAAACCATTTTTATAGCTCAGTTCACATAATTTGATCTCCAGCATTCGACTTGACTATTAATAACCCACTTTAATTTCATAATCTGTCATATTTCTGTGTGAAACAGAATAATCAACAAGAAACATACCAGAATGAAGCCAGGCTTCATGTGAATTTACTAAAACAATGCTCAGATAGCTAATTGCTCAAAACGAAAGTCGTCTCAGAGGAAGTTATTGCATTATGATTGAATATTACAATGCTTTCTTTGGAATAACACAGACCAATAAATCAATCAGAGATAGAAAGCAAATAGTCAATATTGATTTAGTTGCTTTTAACCGTTGGTCTGTGCACATACGCATCAAATCAGATGTCTTTTAAGACGTTTAAGACATTGTTTCAAGTCAAAAGTAGTTAAAACAGAATCAAGACTCCATTGCACTGCACTCCATCCAGCTGTTTTTGAACTCCAGAACACATCTTGTGTAAACACTCTATCCTTAACACTAGATATCAAGCAGTAAATACCTTGCTACATTAAAATAATACAGGAAGTACATAAGTAAAGAACCACTGACAGTGCTTATATGCAACATGACTTCTTTTCGAAAAACGTAGTTTACGTCTGGAACCTTTGAGCATATTAGCATAATGAAAGGCTGATATTTGTGTATGCGAGTTGTAGCAAAGTGCTCGGGAGCCTGGCTTTGAACTATGTGCACTTGGACGCACACACACACACACATCCCTGTGCTGCTGTCTGTTTACACCATACAAAGAATAATATTTTCCTGGGATCGCTTTGGCACCATAAAACTTTATTTGCACAGTTTTAGGTTTACTTGGTTTGCCCTGGCCAACTCTCAACTTTTTCTGCACTCTCTTGCGGTGAAACATTTACCACGAGTGTTCGGCTTTCATGTCTTTTTGCTAATTGCACAGCTGAGGGTCTTGTCCTTTCCTCACCCGACCCTATTACACCCCCCCCATCACGTCAATTTGAAACCTGATACCTCAATGTTTTCCCCAGGCTTGTTTTATTTTCCTTTTGGCGACATTAGCATATATATTAAAAACAACATTGCCGTATGACGTACAGGAGCACTTTAGAGCAGCTTTTCTGCGGTTTAGTGTCCGGATGTCACAGGACCTACAGGAAGTGCCATTTCAAACTTTCTCCAGCCATATAGCGATGCAAAATTTAAAACCACAACTTTTTATTAAAGATTTTCAGCTCACGGAACAGGGACAGCGGACAGGGCGTCCTGTCTTCAAAATCAAGCAGCGTCGGAAAGCGTGGCCCGTGTTGTAGCTGACGGAGGCAGGTTTCTATTGGCAGCTACACAGGGCGCTCTATTCAGGTGCACGGGTGTGTACGAGAGCAAGAGCGAGTGAG